ATAAAATAGCCCAGTTAACATACGTCACATCGGCTTTTTAAACCCTTTGTCAGATTTATTGCACTGCATTGTACTTCTTCGAGACGTGTTTGGTCCTACGCTATCTATGGACGCCACGCTTGTATACAATATCCCAGGCGAGGCCGACCGAAGCCGTCGTCAACCCTCTGTAAAAGTTCTGCGTCTATAGTTACCAACGCCCTCTGGATTGCATTGAGCGATCCTGTGGCGATTTCTGCAGTCTTGGTTTCATGTTGCTCTGTATGCAAACGGCGGGGTTCTTCTGCGAAGATGGAGTCTAATATCTTTCAGGTGATATGTCCACAGGCTCTCATTTGAATGACAGTTTGTTTGACGGCATACAGTGAGTGACCGATTTCATGAAATTTGACTGAAATTCTGAAATGCGGTTTCGATTAGAAAGGATTGCTTAGGCGCGGTTGCAAAACTAATAATTTTTCGGCATAATCTTATAATATTTCGAACTCGGAAGGATGTCCGCTTTTGAATTTATGGCTCTTCGATTTCCTGTAGAGACCTTACTAGATAAAAATGGCCACTTAACTAGCATAAATTTTCTCATGGATTTCTAAGGATCTTGCAACTTCAAATATATTTTATAGAATTCACGAACAAAAATATACTTTCTTCCGGTCGTTTGACAGAGAATCACATCATTGTTGAAATTTATAATCGAAGAAGGGCTTTAACTAGGTTTTAAAAAAATTTCTGATTGCAAGATTTTTTGAGACCGTGCAAAGTCCATTTATACAGCATCGTATCTGTACGTTTATCACTGCTCGTCAAGTAATGCACAACATAGTCCGCATCCCTTGCAAAATTATACAGACTCCATATGCCATCTTTTTAAAGGCTTAGGAGACTATATGATTTTCTTTACGAGAAACGCATCTCCTTTGTAGACTGAAATCAATGAGCGCTCATGCAACGACTGATAAGGTTTCAACTAATTGGAGAATTCAAAAAAAATTTTAAATCTAATTATACTCCGACTTCGACTATAAATTATAATGCTGGCGTAATTTTCTATCAAACCATTGAAAAAAGGATATTGTTGGTCGCAGATTCTCTGAAATATTTTTTTGAATTTGCTAGCCCATCGAAAATTGATGTGAAAAGTGCATGTTACATAAATAGTCATTTTATACGGGGGTCCGCAAAGCAGTGCGTTCAAAAGCTGACATCCTGGCAAGTCAGAAATATTGTAGGATTATGCCGCATGATAGTGATAATATCAACCTCACCTAAATAATACTTCCTGATCGAAAACGCATTTCAGAATTTCCGGCAACACTTCATGAGATCGATCACTCACTGTACATAAAGGATGAAACCGAGGGGCCGAACACTGAGCCTTAGGGCGCATTACTTGCCAGGTCTACCCAGTCTGACATATCGTCTGCGATACGGACACGCTGTTTTCTACCAATCAGAAACGCCCTTAGCCAGTTCAGAAGATCTCCTCAAATGCCGAGGGCGCTCAATTTATGAAGAAAGCGTTGGTAAGGCGCAGTGTCGAGTGCTCTGCGGAAATCGGTGTACACGACATCGATCTCAAAACCTTCTTCTTAAGCTCTGGCCAAGGTTTCCAGATGAGTTGCCAGATTTAAGAAACATAAACGTCCTCTCAGAAAACCTTGTTTAAGACTCTGCAAGATGTAATTTCGTTCACAAAACTGCTGTATAGAACACTCTACTAGGACTTTCATCGTCTTGCGTGAAGCTGCCAGATGACACTTTGTTACCTCCCTTATTTTACATGACAAGGTTTGCCGCCTTCAACTGTAAGGTCAGCCCTCCCTGTTCTCACTGACAGCTCAAGGAGAGCTATAAGAGGTTTTGCAGCTTCGCTGAAAGTCCGTGATTATTAGCATTGGCCTTCTATCAGTCCTTCTATCAGCTGGCCAAAAGTTACTGAGGACGAGGCTTAAATTACGACAGACTTTTGGCCCGTTTCGAACGTACAACGCAGCAGAGCTAATCTTCATCAGTTCCACAAAAAAAGCCTTCCAATTAACCGGGCAAAGGATGCCTTGCCAATGCACGCCACCCCAACTTGTGTGTATGAATTCACATGCACTTGCGAATGCAAGTACATTGGGCGTACGCAAAGGCAATTGGCAACAAGGGCCGCTGAGCATTTGCCTAATTGGCTTTTCAAACAGGCAAACAAAACTCCCCGTTCGTCTATAACGAAACACCTGCTAGATAGCGGTCATGTTGTCGACCTTAAAGCGTCTTTTCGAGTACTTGTCCGAGCGCAAACAACTCGAACCTTGCGTTATTTGGAAGCAGCTTACATATGGAGAGAGAAACCAGATCTATGCAAGCAGTTTTATCACGTGATCAATCTGCAATTACCCTGGTAATCTCACGCCTCAAGTCACTCCTGACTGTGATTTGTTGTTAACATTTCGTCTCCCTCTTTCCTTTATGATGCTTATGTGGACGTCTTATCTGATTATTCATTGCCTTGAACCTTGAGCTTGATCTTATGCACTGTCATTCTGTACAAATTCATACTGCTGTGCGCTTTCATTCGTTACCTATGTTATGCACAGACGGGCTGCATTTGAAAAGCCGTCACGAAATTTAGTGGCCCCAATAAATTCTGCTATACATGCTTGTTCAACTAACGTTTGGATTTCTGAATAAGAATGGGGACCCAACAAATGGAAATCCGTGCATGACCCCATAAGTGGGCAAAGTATTTGGACAATTCGCTGAATCCCTGAAAATAAAAAAAACTGACAGATAAACAGGTAGTTCTATTTCACTTGAACTACTTTTGTCAAGACTAACAGAATAAACGAAAAATCTTGGCCCCATGATTTTCATTGTTGATGAGAAAACATTTGTCTTTAACTTGAAAAATAGAACTTCCGTTCCACCACATAGTAAACCCTTAAATATGCAAGCATTTTTCAATTTCACATGGTTATTGCCCATAGCCCAATGGAGAAGATGTCTACAGAGGTAATTTCCAAAATTATCGGCCAGTATATCTGAATCATCTTAATAAAACTTATTTTCCATCCGTTAAGCTTGAGGTAAGAATTGCATCTCAGGTTACAAAAAAATTCTTACCGACGGGTAATTAATGCAGAAACGTCACGTAGGCGGCAATAGCTTGGGCGAATGCCAAATAGATAACGTCTCACTTCGCAAGGTCCAACTTGCTGAATACAGTAAGTGTGCTAGTTCATAGACTGTTTTTGACTTAAAAGGATTATTTAATTAAGTTGTACTTTTACTAATGGTGAAGCATAATCATATTATAACTCAGTTACTTCAGGATGCCGACTTTTGAATGAAATTTTTTTCGACGGCCTGCAAAAACCCTACAATGCAAAAATGACTACTCAGGTAGTGCCAAGTTTTCATACTGATTTTTGATGCCATTATTAACTTACATATATTTATGGAAAATGTGCCCAAAATATTTGTTGTCTTCCTCATTTCGTAGAACATTGCGTCCTTTTAAATTTCATACTTGAAGAAGACGTGTTATTGGATTTTAGAAAGTTTTTAATTATGAAGCGCCTAAGACCAAAAAGTGCGCGTATCTCTGCATTTACGACATGTGCTTGTACAGTCTAACATATAGCTCAAATTCACGGCCTTATTTCATGAGCCCCAGACACTTTCCTTTTAGAGCCGTACAGAAATACATGATTTTCCGTTCATGAAAAGCGTGCGGCTTATAGTTTTTAAACTCTGAGTGCAAATACAATGGCAGATTGCGCTCAAATTTGTTCGGGAGTCAGAAAAGTTTTCAAAACCACATTATACTTCTTCTTCAAATTTAAAGTTTGAAGAAAACGTGATTTTCTACCAAATGACTAAAAGAACGAATACTTTTGCGCAATGTTTTTCATGAAATACATTTAAATGTATATGGGCATCACAAATCAATGGGAAATGTGGTACAACATAAGTAACCATTTTTTGCTTCCTTTGGCTTGTGCAAGTGATCGGAAAGAAGTTTTCTTAAAAGCCAGCATCCTGAAGTAACGGATTTATCATAGGATTATGTTTTGATATGAGTTATATTTCAACCTCAATCAAATAACATTTTCGAGTCAAAAAGGCAGTCTTAGAATTTCGGTTAACATTTCATGAGTTAGCACACCTACCATATGCGGCAAAATAGCCCTGATAAGACATGTTCGTTCGAAAGAGGATGTAGAAGGAACGAAAGTATCAAGCGAGAGAACAAACCACATAACTATCGCAGAGCTCTCTTGTGCGCTGCTAATGGTCTACTTTATGCCTATAGTCCGGTCCTTAAGGATATTTTGATTGGTCATCAGTCATTTACGGATAGGCAGGAACAAATGCAAGACAGCATAACGGAGAGAGCAGATGCGGTCCCAAAAAGCTTCTAACACGAGCGCAACATGTTTGCTGTTTTCTTTCCGAAAATACAAACAACGGAAATTCGCAGGAACAATGATAGAAGGACAAGTCCAACCAAAACGAAGAATACAAGAACACGCGGTAACATGCGGTTATGCAGCCGAACTTGATGGACACAATAGTCTTAGTCGTTAGGCTTAGGGGTTACGGTTAGGGCGTAGCAGTTAGGGTTAGGGATTAGGCTAAGAGGCTAGGGTCAGGAGTTAGGGCAACTTTTTCTCAACCACCCAAAGTACAATCGCGCATTCCCATGAATACAATTACTTGACCTCATTGCATGTGCATTCTCCAGTCCCTCTGTAAAAACCCCCATCACCACTAGGCGGCTAGGGTTCTTTTACTTCAGGTGATGCTGCATAACCACTTCTGACCGAACACTCGGCGTTCGTCAGAGAACTTTAATTCAAAAAGTCATCACAAATGCTGAAAGCCGCGCGACAGAACGTAAAATGAAACAATGGCTAGAAAAGTGCAAATCCCACAACTGCACCAGTCAAGAGGACATTGATCAAGCAGAATAGAAGAATACGCACGCAAATGCGCTGATAAAGTGCAGACAACTAGGAGTTTGCAGCCGGCTTCTTCAAGCCGTACGCATCGGCGAAGTTAGCAAATTCATCATCCGAGAAGGTGGTCTTCATGATGTATGGCTTCTGGTTCATGAGTTGACGATACTTCAGCACGTTGGGCCACTGAGATGCGACAGTCTCGACACCGGCACCGGAGGCGTCGTCCACAACAAGCAGTCGGTTCATAACGAAGCCCCATGCAGTGAGGAAAGGAATCAGAGCCAAATCAGCCAGACTCAATTTCTCCCCTTTGCAAAAAAATTTAAAACCGTCAGACCCGTTGACATTCCTTTTTTCATAAAATACACCGTCATGAATGGACTGCGGGATAGGTTATAGAATGAAGACGAGCTGGGCAAAGAAAGTAAACACCATGAAAAATAGGCAAAAAAACAAGAACTTTACAAATAAAAATGCTAAGGCAAAATCCTGGACTATGTTTCCAGATGGAACGTGCCGTATACCTGTAATTTTGTCTATATATAAAGGTTTTTGTGGGATGCAGTCGTATCCACAAAAATCCGGCGGGAATACAGTGTCGCAACACTTAGAATTGTCTATTCCCCCCCCCAGCCTGTCTTACGGGCGGACTACCACTACTACTACTACTACCACTAATACTACTACTACTACCACCACCACTACTACTGTTACTACTACCACTACTACCGCTGTTACTACTAATACTACTACCACTGGCGGGAATACAGTGTCGCAACACTGAAGAAAACTTTTTCCCCCGTCTACCACCACTGATACGGCGAATACTACTAATAATCCTACTATTAGTACTACTACTATTACCACTGCCACCACGGCTGCCAGTGCTACTCTACCAACGCTTCCAGTATGGGTAACTAACTGCAATAATACTAGCATAAGTAACGGAGTGTTGCGACACTGGTATCCAACCAAAAATCCTCTTGGGCAACGGAATAAAGAGTAGTTATTACCGAGCACCATGAGCGTCACCTAATGGCAACAAGATGGCAAGTCGGGTCGCATAGCGCAAAAGCTATCGACTAATAAAGAGAATAAGAATGCCTGTTTCGACACAAAACAGTACTGAATAGAAGGTAGACGGACGCACCCAGGAGATAGGAACCCTTAATAGCTTTGTCCAGATTTGACAGAGCGACCTTGAAGGCATCGGCGTCAGTCTTGGTGGCATCAGGTGAGAAGCACAGTTTGACGCGGGGACCAATAATCTGAATGGCGTGCGTGGGCAGAATGTCGATTAGATTTATCTATGCGCTTAACGGCGGTTTTATGTAACAGTGCAATTCCATGGAAGTGTAATCGCATTGGTAAATGCTACATGGTAGCCTGCTGAACCATGAAGTACCATGACAGGGTGAACGCCCTGGCGATAAACTTAGATATTTGTAAATAACCCAGACATCTTTAACTCCCAGCGCAGGTGAATTCAAGTACCATTAGGAGTTATCTTTCGCTGACAATTTTCCAGTTCAAACTACAAGCTTCAGTCGGTACTTTCGCAGAAAGACTTTTTTAAAGTATTTCTTCGCGGATGGAAGTGCAAACGGTCTTCCTCGCGGGTGTCTGACGAATGACCAGAGTGTTGTTAGCTGAAGCTGTTGCCAGTTAACCAGGGCGACTGGCAGTAAGAAAAGAGCGAATTTCTTAGTTTTGCAGCTGAGGTTTAATAGATCACTTACTAGCCGCATCGTCCAGAGTGCCGCATAGGTTGAATTATAAATATAAGCTGTGTCTGATTTGTGAAAATCTGCACAATCTATTTCTTCCGTATTCCAGGATCTTGTAGTGGTTATCGCAGGTGTAAATTATTGATTTTTTTGTTTTAGCGCAATCATCGCGGTAGGTAATATAAACGACAGTTGTCGTTCTGGTGGTACTGGCGTAGTAGAAGTAAAGATTATAATCAGTTTTATTAAAATCACTGTCATTGCTTGGGGTGATTAAGGTGATGAGTGTGTGCATACACAAATGAAATAGAGTATTTAAAGTTACTTCAACCAGGAGGCGATCGCGCGTTACTCCATGTGAAATACCATAAGCAAACACTGCAATAATCAGGACACTTACGGACGGTGGCCATTTCAAAACATTTTCAAGACCTTCCTCACCATAAACACTAAGTTAAGATTCTTCGACACCCCTTTGACTGATCGACAAACTTCATGCCTGCTTACAACTAACCTTATGTAGGCCTGAACATGACGATCTAACAGCAGTTTAATGATAAAATAAACTTCTATAAGTCTCCAAGCGTTGGCCTATGAAATGGCACTTCTTATGGCCACGGCTGAAATTTGCTGGATCTGTTAGTAAAACCAATTCAAACAGGCAATCAAGAATTGCGATCCGTGTTTGCTCTACAATCAATCTTTCCAAGTTCATGAGGTCATATAGCTGATAAGCCTTGATCTACAAGGCACATCGAAGAGCTCAGATTTCCCATCAGCCCGCACAAGGGTCCTCACAAGACAAGATGATTGCGATCGCGGTGGTCATTTTTATCGTATTTTCGGTTATAAATATAGTGATTGCTTGGGTGCAGAGACAGGAATAAACACTAATACTGTTATTACAATCCTGTATGGGAGCAATATTCCTGCCGATGATGCATTTTTGTGATGACGACGATAACGCAACTACTCAAAAACTAAAAGGATACTAAAACTTAATTAAAAGGAAATATCATCTAGACTACTTAAAGCCTATAAATCGAAAAACGCTTTCACTTTTCAGCCTGCATGAACTGCTCTAAGGTCATTAGACTCACGGCAGACGATAAGTCCAACGACTCCTTAAAACCTCCCTCGCCGCAAATGCTCAGTAGAGAAGTTTCGGGACCCTTGATTTGGTCGACATACTTCATGATAACATCCGACTCAACCATTTTCTCACCTCGATGCAGCAGCAACGGAACCTTTCCCGACGGGTTCAGCCGTAGATACCAACTGGGCTTTGAGCTCAAGTTGATTAATATGCGGTCATACCTGGTAGTAAACAATCACAGTATGTTCTATTAAGCAAACAATTTAATGGACACTCAACATCGAGATACGGAAGAAACAAACAATTACAGTAAGCAGGCTTACTCATAAAATGTCAACCGAAACTTCGAAATGCTGTCTCCTTTCGAAAAGATTAATTAAGAAGTGTTGCAAAACTTATCATTATGCAGCATAATTCTATAATAATCCAGTTACCTCAGCGTGCCGGCTTTCAACTGAATTTATTTTTGACTGCATGTAAAAACCATACTCTGCACAAATGAATATTTAATTTGAATTCACTTTTTTCATCGATTTTAGACGTCCTTGAAAATTCAGTGAAAAACATGCATTAAAGTATCTATCATTTTACTTATGCGGTAGAAAATCACATTTCGTTCCAGTTTTAGTATCGCAAGAAGGGTATAATTCGGTTTTAAAAAACTTTTCTTATTCCCGAATAATTTTGAACTCGACCTGCTGTTATACTTGCATTCGGGGTTTCAAAACTACAAGCCGTATATTTTCCGTGTACGCAAAACCACATACACACACACCGCACACAGAGCGACGCTTAAAAATGCCCTTTGCGTTTGGAGGCGCAGTTGTTGCCCAGTTCTTTTCCATGGCGGTCTTTTTTGTCGACGTCTCACGACAGAGTCAAGCTTTGAGATACTGGGGACTCCAAAAGGTGTCGATAATGTGAACGTTCTCAGATGAGGCAGACGACAGCGGTTAGCGTTCATTTGTAGTCCAGTGGCATTCCACGGAGGAGAGAAGCTCAACTAAGCAGCTGTTCGTCAAAACCCTCTGCTGCACATATTCCCGCTGACTCCCAATAATTTGGCAGATTTAATATCAGTTTACAGAAGATGCCTAATACACCACACCTAGGGAATTACGTCGATTTCATTTGGGTCACTAAGAGAATGGGCAAATTGTGATTTTGGCGTTATCAGATAAGAGACAATTAAGGAATTCTTAGATAGATACATTAGATGTGCTAACTCATGAAATGTCAACCAAAATTTCGACATGCGTCCTCGTTTCGAAAAGAGGAATTAAGTAGTGTTGTAAAAATAACCATGATGCAGCATACATCTATAATGAACCAGTTACCTTAGGGTGTCAGCTTTCGAAAGAACCTCCTTTCGGCTGCATGCGAGATCTACACTCTGTAAAAATTGACTACTTAAATAGCATGCAATTTTTCTCACTGATTTTCGATGCCCAAAAATTTCCAATTATATTTCATGGAAAACATGCATAAAATACTCATTATTTTGCTCTTTCAGTAGATAACGACGTATTCTTCTAACTTTATGCTCGAAGAAATGGAATGATTCGGTTTTAAACAACTTTTTCGATTCCCGAATAAAGTTGACAGCGCTCTACCGCTACATTTGGATAACGGGCTTCAAAACTACAACCGCATATTTTTTGCATACGCAAAAGCACTCATTTCTCCACGGCATTAGGTGGAGACTATATAGGGTTCATAAAACTTAGCAGTGGACTCGTTCCATATTGTTAACTTTAGAAGCCACATTGGTAAATGCAGACACACGACGTTTTGTGAATGGCCATTTCGCGGTATTATACGGTTTCACAATTAGAGATTTCATTGAAACCAAATTATACTCCTTCTTCGAGCATGAACTTGAAAGAATACGTTATTTTCTATTAAATAAACAGAAGAGTACACATTTTGTGCATTTTTTCGTGAAATAAAATTTAATTTTAAAGGGCATCAAAATTCAATGAGGAAATCGCATGCTCCCTGAGTAGACATTTTTTGTAGAGCGCAGTTCTTACACGCAGTCGGAAATACGTTCATTAAAAAGAAGTTACGCTGAGGTAACTGAATAATTATAGAATTATGCTGCATTGTGATTAGTTTTACAACTTTTATTGATTAATCTTTTTGAAGGGAGAACGCATTTCGAAGTTTTGGTTGACATTTCATGAGTAAGCTCATCTACTGTACTTACAAAAATAATCTTTGAGGGGTCTGAAGAACATCTTAATGCAGGACACATACAATTTGACCATCGTGATCGATTATGTCTTCTGTTGGCTCCACAGGAAATTTCGCGCGATTCCTGCAAGAATGATAGTAGGCCTGCACAGCATTCCGCACCCTATTCTCATCACCCATCTGTGCCAAGTGTGAAAATTCAATTAGAAAGATTGGAGGCAGGAGAGAGGCGGGTATCTGGCGGAACCGAAGCCGTCCCTAGGCGAGTCACCACACCTCTTTCGGATACTATTAGGTTGGAGAGCCATAAAGGTCACATCTCGAAGGAGTCATTGCAGACCACCAGTTAGCCACTCTAAACAAACGCACACTGGAGTGATTGTGAGTTGCAGATTATCGCGTCAGTTGGCAACCTTTCAAGCCATGGACTTTTGTGCACCGCGATAGTTTTAGGTTCGCCAGATGGTTTATAATGATTTGTAGCCTCTGTCTCCATTCCCATGCCTAGACCTAAGTCACATTTGTGACCGGTTACTACTTGCCTGAATGAATAGTAATACTTCCTCTTTACTGCAAACTGCCGACAACTCATCTTTCATGTTGGAAGAATCGGCAAGGAATTAAGGCTGGTTATGCGTCTTATGAAGTGACACGAGCCATTCACCTGCGCTGCCTATCTAGACTCTATTTCAGGGTTCGCAACCTCAAAAAAGACAAGGACGGCTGCTCAAATTCAAAAAAACTATTTCATCGTCTCAATAATAAAATTCATTGTATGCATCGCCTGGCTGAAAACTCCTACATGAAATATTGCGTACATTCATAGATGTTTGGCAGAGTTTGAATAATTCATATTGACCCAACTCATAGCTAATGTGGTTAGAGCGTTGGCTGTACTAAAGCCTTCCCCTTACTGCGTGGGTTCGAATCCCACCGAGGTGCCGAGTTTTTCACAGTTGGGTCAATGTGAAGTTTCTACAATGCAGATGATTAAAATATAACTCAAAAAGTTTAGTCTTGTGTCTTACGGTATTTGATGATAATCCAGAGTGTATCGAACGCGTTGGCAGAAGGGGCAGAAGTGCATCTCATAGAGTGTGATATTTTCCGGATTAACGGTGGGCTCGGGATCACCTAGAAAGAAGGAATGACGAATGGGTAGATAAGGTTCAGGAGCTCAAGATGCGTTTGCACTTGGATAGAAGTTTCTCTTCGTGGAACACCGATGGCCACTACACTCACATCACAGTTTCATGTGATTGGTGGAAACATCAGGAATATTGATGTTTCACGAATGAAGGTAAACTGTGAAGTTCCAGGTGTATGCTTAAGTGCAGAAAAAGAGTCGAGCACCGGAACACCTTGTTTTTTGTCCTGAGCTTTCAGACTCGTACAAGAGTCCATCGCCAGAGGTAGTAGCAGCAACAGAATAAGCGAAAGTTATCGGCCAATTATCGACCGAGGGCGCAGGACTGGAGGTGACTGAACGCATGCTCGGATCGTGCATACGTGAACATAACCTGGCTGTGCGACGAGGCGACGCATTATCACAAGTAGCCGCCCACACCTACGAAATGGATCACGAGTTTAACTTTGCAGCCACCAAAATATTTGCCCACATCGGAAACAAAACATGCCGAGAATTTACTACAGCCTGGGCCTCCGATGAGATCTCGGTTAATCGATTAATCAATATGGCGCCGACGTACAGAGCCCTGCGTAGTCACTTCCAGTCCCGTCCACTACACTTACATCACAGTTGCATTCGATGGGCCCAACGATAACTGCTGCCCATCAAAGGAACTTCTAACTAAAATACAACGACTTAACCCGATCAACTAGTACCACTCAGCGGCCACCCCTCTTTCAGTATCACTGCGAAGATACGATACAATTTAAACAGAAACCAAACTCCACAAATCTATGGATTTTGTTTACTGTCAGCGAGATGTACATAGCTCCAAGTATGATAAGAGGCATCGGTTGTCCCGGGGAACTCTGTCCTATATTTGTATCTTTTAGATGTCGCTTCTATCAAAGTGTGTACAGAAAGTTTTAATGCTTTGAAAGACAATTAACTGTTTAATATTTCCCCATGAACTCGTTTTGGTGTAAAAGCGACCGAAAATAACGTAAATTGGGGCTCAATTATTGCTTGGTAAGCGTCACTGCGGCAAACTAACCGCACAACGTTAATTGCTGAAATCTTTTTCTCTTTGGCAACAAGAAATTCTTTTATACTTACCTTCTTTTAGATGCTGATTCATGTCGATAGACATTCGCAGGCAGTGTCGATGCAGAGCGTGAGCCTTCGAAGGTAGTGAGTGGCTCAAATTTATCTAGCGAGTAAGTGCCAGAGATATCGCCTATTGGTTACTGATTCAGGCCGATGATTGGTAGCTTATTTTTTGGCGGTTCTTTAGAGCATTGCTTGCTCAAAGTCATTTCGCCAACAGTGGTGGCGGAATGGCCAGTTCTGAGAGGTTTCGGGAATGCATTTAGAAGCATTGGCGCAAGGCTTTCGGTTAATCTGAAGTTGCAATCGGTCAATTCAGAGTAATTGTCATTCTAAATGGAGAAGCCTTTTATGCCTCCAGTTGGAATTCACAGCCGCTAATGCATGGCCGTTTTTTTACAAATGGCTAGTTTTTCTGTGTAGATGAAAGGCTTGTTGTGCCGTTTTCTATGTACGCAGGCCATAGCAACGGGGGCCAAGTTGTGCCTACATTGTTAAAATCGGAGCGCAACAAAAAAACTGTAATTATGGAGCCTTATTTCAGAAAGAAACAGTTCGGTCGGATTATATCCGCGCAACAAATGTCAGATGATTATGCCTGCAGTTTGGAGTATAATACTTGAACTCCGGATACATTTAAAGTCTCAAGCTTAAGAATTTGATCCATGGGCACAGATCATGCTAAACTGTAAAAGCTGCGACTCAATTAATTTGAGGAACTTGACAGGATTCACTGAAAATTATTGGAAACGCAGCTCGCAAATTTGGAAATGCGGATGCTGAGGTGGAGAGGGAGAGTAAGAATGAGAAGCCTGTTGGACTCTCGGAAATTTTGCGATTTTAAATCGAAGTACGTGTACAAATTTGATGTCTTCATTCGTACACGTGCGCGCACCGACTTTGTTACGGTACGCACTCGTCCTTTTGTACCTTGAAACTCTCTCTCGAACTGAAGCTTAAGTTGTTTGGAGGCCTCAACATTCTTCCTAGACCGCACGCGACGAGGTTGTCTCTCTTCAGCCATAAGGTTTTAATCGTAAGCTGAAACACAGTCATACCTCTGACTGACAACAAATAGCATTACCCTACAAGATCACGGCGACATTCGAAATCACAACGGAAGGACTTCTTTAATATCGCTTAACACTTCGCTATTTGTGTTCTCTATTGCTGAGAGCCAGGTTAGTCACTCGGTGAACCTGGAAGCCTTTTCTTGCTCTCTTAGTAATAAAACCTCGTCGCATAAGCGAATGTACCTCTGGGATTGAAGTTTTGCACGCAAAGCGCACAAACAATAGGTTTTGATTTATATTAAATGTCGGAGGAGATGAAGTTAATAGCAGGAAATATCCAATTTCGCGTATATTTGGCCGGTTTTTATTTTTCAAGACAGACAGGAATTTGATTCTTATTAAATCAGAGGTATACTACGCCTTAAATTAGTTCAAAAAACTAGGACCAACAAAAAGGGAATGCTATATTGTCCAAGCAAATTACGGTTGTCATTTTATATGAGTTTGCACTTTCCTACTTGAAACTTAGGAATTACTGAATGATTTCTTTACTGCTGCCCTCATTTTCTAGGCACTCAGTAAAAAGCATTTGGATACTATATTCAAAACCTAAGTTTTAAAGTGCCACCTTTTCTGTCCTGAAAATTGAGCGGTCCAGTTGAACGTGTGTTGGAATAGGAATACCTGTCCTTGTAGCATACGCTGGATTTTGCACAAAGAAGTTAAACATCCTTCCCGTCAAATATTTTAAACTATATAAAGGACTCTCTTGTTTTGCCATAAATCCCACACTGAGTTTGATCATCCATCCTCAATCCAGTTGATAACCTTTTAATTTACGGCTTTTAGGGTGCTGTTAACAACTAAATACGTCAGATTTATTCTAGCAGGAAATGCGCCCATTTGTCTTAGAGTAGGTGCTATCAATGTGGGCCTCATTTCCTCTTGCCTATTTCATTAGGTACCTGCCTGTTCGGACCTCTCCGCTCGTCTGCGATGGTTACACACAAACTTTTTTTTTTATTTTCTTCACTAGGTTTCATCAAAGGACAGGGCTTTGCGTACAACAACGCATATGGTTTGAATATAGTGTTGTTTCTGCCGCCATATTGGCCATGACTTATATACAACTACTCACAGACGATAGATTTCGATAGCATATGTTTTGGAAGACATTAAAGGTATAATCTGGATAGTTAAACTTAAACATATGCTATTTATGGGCTGTTTTTTAAAATAGGTTTTGTAATTATGCAGACTTTCTTTCCAAATGATCACTCGCATTGAAAAAATTCGGAGAAGAAAATAGGCTGGCTTATGCATTATATGAAGAGTCGTTGCACTAAAGTGATTTCGTCAAATTCGCACAAATCATCACCAAAACTGTGAGAAGTCACCATCGTAAGGGCTTGAGGTCTCCGTCACACAACACGAGTGTATGTGTTAACACACCTCTAAAGACTCTGCAGTCCATTGGTGAAAAAAGCTGACGAGGTTATCACGCCTTTTAACAAATCCAGTCTAGCTTTGATATTTGATGAGACATTCGCAGGTAATACATCTGAATAAACTTCTCTTGTACTTTCCAGGCATTTACGCCTTACTCTATAAACGGCCAATCACAAATACACAATCAAAAAGATTACCTCTCAGCACTATTTTGGAGCAATCGGATTATATACGTATTTTCCACTTTGTGCAATCAGACTCAGCGGTGATAACTGTTCGTTTTCCTTCTCTAAATATTCAACGCGAAGTTAGGTGTTGTTTCTAGCAGGTGCTTGCACGCAAAGGCGCCAACAAAGTTTTCAATTTTACGATTTCTTAATATTCACGGAGGGCAAATTCAGTTACAAGCCCATTCTTAGTGTGGGTGCCTTTTTTTCGTAAACTGAGTACGTTTTTATTATTGAAACGCTTGGCAAAGGCTGATGCAAAAGAGTATGTGTATTAATTTTATAATAATATATTTACAAACACGGCACAACAAAGTATCCTTCAGCATTTAGAGTAATGTTCGGTGCGGCACTTTTAGAACAGGCATTCCTAATACAGGAATTATGCAGTGTCAAATGCGCAAACCATTATCGTCTCATAATTACGCCTGAGAGGATGCATTGCAAAGCTGAGTCTAGAATACGCAAAGACCAAAGCACAGGAGGTGCCGATCTCGCAGTTAGCCGGGACCTTGCAACCTTTGCATCCAATCAGCGCCGATCGACAGGTTGAAGAATGGGCGCTTAGGATAGAAGCGCACAATGATAAACTTCGGCGATCAGTTTTTCAAGAACTTCCGAGGTGTAAAACGGACATGATAGCACCAGATCTACTCAACTTTCCCCATTCCGGTTTTGCAAAACGTGGCCGACTAACCAACAGTTACTCTTCTTTGTTACCATCACTCAGGATTCTCGATTTTAGTTTGCCTCGTTTCTGGTGTTAGAATCTGTTCTGGCAGAATAAAGTGTGTCAACATAACGCTATAGATTGGGACGGAAAAATCGTAACCAAATAAACAGCCTAGCAGAGCCAACTGTCTGATTTAGGGGCAAACTCACTTCAGTATACCAACTTTAAACACTGCTTAGCATGACAACCAATAGCTTTGGCCGTTCTCAAGTGCTTCCACTGATGTCTAGGGTCCGAACCCCGCCGAGATTTTCGCGACTGGTCGAGTGACCTATTCAATCGATCAAAAATGCCTGTTAATAACAGTTCACGCACTACCTCTATTAGAACTGGAGACAATACACGGAGGTGGGACCCTCACACCGTACGACATGTGATCTCTCGCCAGATTTCAGTTAGGGTGACTATTCCCGCGCCCTGATCCAAGACCTTGCACTAATCCTAACCCCGCCTTTAATCCTAATCCTAGTCCTAAACCTAACCATATACCCAACTTTGATTTCTGTGTGCTGGGCAACGCTTCCACATATGCCGCCCTGTTTTACGATGGAAACGCCTGCGACAGATAGTACACATGCCTTAAAAAAACAACTTTGTCGCAAGTTCTAGCAGTGCCAACCTCGGATTCCGTGGCTACTATTTGCTCATAAAACCTAGGCTGATTGGCTATAGTTCGCACTTTTCCTAGACGGAAAAGTACAGTTTCAACTACGTTAAAATCAGACACAGCTACGATATTTGTGAGGAGGGTTGACGTACGGTTGATGTGCTAATTCATTAAACGTTTATTTGAAATTCCGGAATGCGCTTTCGACTGGAAAATATTACATCGGTAGAGCTGTGAGATTCATGACCATGTAGCATACGCTCATGATATTTATTTGCTTGGGAGTTCCGTCTTTTAAAAGAAATTATTTTTTACTTGCCTGTAAAAACAAGACTATTTTACAAATGACTACATTACTGGCATTAATCGGAAATCGGAAAAGTTTTTAAAGCCGAAACACCATTTCTACGGGCAAAAAATTAGGAGAAGGCCGACTTTTATACCAGACAAGCAAAAATGATATTTTATGCACGTTTTCTTTTAAAGATAAATTAGAAAAATGTATAAGAAACCGTTTATTACAGAGTGAAGATTTGCAGGCAGGTGGAGAGCAATTCTTGAGAGTATGCCGCAGGGTAAGTAATATAACAAACCTACTTGAGTAACCATTTCCCATCGAAAACGAATTTCGGAATTTTATTTAGCATTTTATGAGTGAACACATGTACTACGTGTAAGTCATCCTAACACACATCCTAGCTGTATCTGATTTCTACGTAATTCAAGCCGCACTTTTCAGTTTTGTTCACCCCTGCTAAAACCGCGCATTAACGTACGTACAAAATGCTTCAAAATCAGTACTTGGGCGATACTATGCCTTTAATTACATCGAAGACGCGTGCTGAGAACTACAAATGCGAGCACTGGCCTCACAAAATGGTAGTGTTGTAAATTCTCAAATTACACGTCAACAGGTGTCAGTGTCTACGGTGGTAGAGCAGGTGGGCAAACTCTTGAAATGTCAGCCGAAATTTCAAAAAGATTAATTAAGTAGGATTGTAAAATCAACCACCA